AAACATCATTAAATTTAATTATCAAATATATAATAATCAGTACACAACAAAGTAACCTTTTTAAAACTAAAAGGGTAAAAAGAAAAAAAGCTGTAAAAACCAGTTGTAAAGAAACAAAAGAAACCTATTTCTCACGTAAGACTCACTAATCCTTTGAAATTTGATTAAATACTATAAATATAAAAAATGCCACATGTGAATTAAACAGCAGAAGCAAAGAATATTCAATTTTTTTCGAATTAAAAATCCCTCTATTAAAAAACACAAAATACGAGAAAATTAGATCTAAAAGTGAAGCACATTTCTTCATACGCTCCTCTAAAAGAATAGTTCAAGGTCTAGTCATGCATTCAAATGACTTTATAAAAACCATAAGCAAAAAATTTCATTATATTTTACAAATTGAGAGTAGTACAACAGAAAGTCACCTCGGGATCTGGGTCGACAAGCAAAGAGGTCAAAGCAGAAAACGCGTTTTTCCGTTGTTCATTGAGGTTCTTCCAGTATCGCACAATCATTTGTGCACTTAGTTTCTTCACTTTTGCATCAGAACTCTTTGTACCAGCGATGAACACTGAATAATCCTAAAAAGTAACTACAACCCTCTCGAAAAGCTTAGATACTTCAAATGACAAAAATAAGTTCCCTTCAAATAAAAAAAAATTTAAAAAAAAAAGACTTCAAAGTCATCGAAATCTTAGCAGTAAAAGTTCAAATAACTTAAAAAATTGAATGAATGACAAAAAAAGCTACTTTAGACTCGCCACTATCAACTGCATTACACGCATCGTATATACCGTCCAATGTAGGAGTCTCAGTCATTGGACGTCAAGTTTTAACTCCTTGGGCAAACTGAAATCAATGCTCCTTTACAGAATGATGTGAACGGTATTTTCTCGCATTTGTATAAATCGACATACCCATGAAAAATCAAAGTTCAAACCCTATTTAGGAGGTAAACTTCTCGTTGTAACCGAAAGAAAAAAAACATTTTCTTCATTAACATTTGGTCTGACTCGCCGTCACTTCTACTCATTAATTATTTACTAGCTCCCATCCAGTACACTAGCCCGAACTATCAAAGGTTGATAGAAGAATTCATAAGAAAGAGAGCAATTTAAAAGATCCAAAAAGAGACAAAAGAAAAAAATTCACTCGATGAACACAAAATACCTTTAAATGTAGAGGCTATGTAATAAGACATATAATGATCACGCTAGGAGAAAGCCTCGAGATCTGACAAAAAAATCCAAAATTTCTGTTCTAAAAAAGAGTAAATCTTTCAATTTGCAATAAAATATATCTTACAGAAATGGTTCTCAAAAAGTTATTACAAAGTAATGCACAATCTTTTAAAGCATTAAGCAAAACTGGTAAATTAATGATGTAAATACTGAAACGACTAAAACACTCTTTATCAAGGATCTGTTTTTACATTAAAATTACCAATAATTGTCACCACAATTAGCTTTCTTTTACAGTAACATCATTCAAACTTGTAGTATATGTACACTGAAAACTAAATTGGGCACTGATAAAAAATATCAGAGGAAGGATGGACACTTTTGACAGTAAGAACAACAAATTTTTATCATCTTCCACTCAGAATTTCCACTTTAATTTGTGAAAGTCATCGAAATGTAGAACATTGTCATGCTGGAAACGTTTTTTTTTTTTTATACATTACAGTTCTTCATCCAAACTGTTTATACTCAGCAACTATTTGTAAGCTCTTAAAATGCCCACTAACTTTTTTTTTTTTCAGTTGTTTTATTTCTAAGTTTTTTTTATAACTTTAATGGGATACTGCCTGAGACCTCTGCATATAGGCAATCACACTATATACCACTCGTTGGATTTCAAACCGAAGCATACACTAACAAAAGCCAACACTGAAACGAGCCGTTATCAATGCGCGTGTGGCTTAAAAAGCCATAACCAAAGGAGTTGCATGAAGAACTGAGTAATGACATAATAGCGATAACCCGGGATGCTTGCACCTGTTCGTCAAATACTTTTAAAATATCGAAAAGCACAATTAGCTTAAGAAGCTTTAAAATTGGTAATAAATACCGATGAATTTGTAAAAATAAACAAATAAAGAGCAAAGTAAAAAGCAAGAAACAAAAAAAAAAGCAACCAGTGTTAAGTCGGAAAAAAAGCAACATTACCGCTTTTATAAGGCAATGTTTTGAATGTTGGCAACAGGCCATTTCTTCAAGCGTCTATAGTAGCCTAACAATTAATAAATTTTCGATCTCAAAACACATCTTGCAAATTGCGTTTTGTCATCGGTATCGTTGTTTTCGTCGTACTGAGCAGTCAATTATCTAGCTGACACTTTTATAAACATTGGCGAAAATACACGGTAAGCAGTCCAGCCGATGTTGAAAATAAACTTGGGTATGTCGAAAGCTTTGCCTCCTTCATCTTTCAAAAAAGAGCTGACTTTACATGGAAAATCTCCGGTGTTAGCAATTGATCTTAGATTGGAAGAGAGCCACAGTCGATGATTGAACCGAATATCTAATTTAAAAGCCTAGTTTGCCTGTAATTTCTTTAAAAAGCCTATCCTCACGTTTTCATTGTCTAGCGCTCCAAACCTTTGTTTTAAGGTGCAAACTCGAAGTCAAGGTAGTACAGTATTCCAGCGCCAACGGTCGAAACTTGTGACGTTGAGGAGATGGATTCTTCGTGGAGCAGCTAGAATACCCTTAAGGAACAGAGCTTTTATCCAAAAAATTGCATCTTTTGGGATTGAGCAACACCTCGTATTCATGGTTAATCTCTGCTCCAGAAAGACCTCATTCGATTTATGTACTCAAAGGGAGAGCTGTTCTTCTAGGTTCCTGTGCATTGTGTTTTGGGGAGGATAAGTTAGACTGAGAAACTTATGTTGTTTTGTCGCCTTATGCTTTGAAAGGGATTTTGAAGTTGATTAATGATAAGTGCCGCGACACCACGCGAAAATAACAGTATCATACTGTACTGCAGTTGACCGCTGTTTTATCCAGTGAAGGAGAAACAATTAGTCACTTTTGACTCAATATTTGGGCATACATATAGAAGGGCGAAAGTTAAGGGAGATTGAGTTTTTCTGCACTTTTTGTCAATCCTTCTTCCATTTCTTATTATCTGCATTCTCACTTTCAGTATGCATTTAAAATTAATGGAAAATAAAGGCAACTCAGAATCATCTAATTTGTTTTTTTTTCATTGTCATTCGTACAGTAATCGGTTGCTGTTTTTTTTGTCAGTATCAATAAATCTTGGTCATCCTTATATCACATTGACTGTTAAAGAATCGCTCAACGAATGAAGTTTTACAAAATGACACAAATTTCCATCGAAAAAAAAACTGTTTTTTCTGTTTGATATGTAACTCAAAAGTGCTTGAAGAAAAAAAAAGTCTTAACAACTGTTAAAGTATTCCCCCATTTACAAAAGAAAATTTTCTTTGCAATGTAGCAATGAGTACTTGATTCTTCTTTTTCAATCCTTTAATTGCAATTAAAATCAACTAACAGTTTTTGACCTCTGTTACCAAAGCACATTCATGTGATAAAATAAATTTTGATGATGATTAGTGGCGACAAGCTACTGCCTGCATATTACCTATATTGATTGGCATTGATATTAACAGTGGTACAGTTGAACATTTTGTCGATCACCACTTTTGACAAAGAAATTTGGTGGATGTTTTTTTTTTTTTAACGAGTTAAAAGGTAATATTTTAATGTTGCAAAACGAATTTGTTGCCAAAAACCGTTTGTTCAAAATACTAAAGAACTGTCCATCTGAAAAACTTACGTGCTGTTTGAAAGCTTTTTAATCAGAATTATCAGACGACCAATATATCAGTGACTCATTTGACCTTACACACCACAAATACAATCAAATTATCACTGACTGCTTGTTTGGTTTGGCAGTACCCAAAAAAAAGCTAAGCAAATGAAGAAAAAGTTTCTTTATTTGGCAACATTTGATCATAAAATGATATTTGTGAGCTGATAAATCTGGCTTCAATTTCAAGTATTTTAATAGTGAGCAATTCATATCAAAATACTACCGCCTATAAAGCATTATTCACCCCATTTGCATACCATTTTGAAGTAATTTTAACTTTCAAACTTCTTAGTGCTTTACTCGACTTGTCCCTGTAAAACTGAATATAATAATGTTTCGTCGTCAAAATGACACAAAAAAAAA